AGGGGGTATGAACTCACCTTAGGGTTTTTTGTTTCGGTTTTGAAGAAGAATGGAAGAAGGTGATGTGATCTTTGGCCCTAGCAAGCTTTCCTTGGGTTGATCTGGTGTTCTAAGAAGTTCTAGAGTATGGATCATGAAATAAAATGCTTAGAAGGAATGATCTTATCATAGGAATAGAGTTTATCCATTTAGGAGATGTATTTGAAGTATTATGGAGTTTATCCATTTAGGAGTTTATCCACATAACATTTCAAGGATCCATGAATTTGAAGTATTATGGAGTTCGATTATTTAAGTACTTGAAGTAGATTCAAAATTTTTTGACATTTCCATCTTCAAAACTTTTCAAGGACTTAGGGGATCTTCGTTTCCTATGATCATTCCCATTGCATTACTCACAACTTTCCTCATTTGAATCATGGTTGCGTCGGATAGAGGACACACCAATTCCATTCCCTCATAATGTGAAGTTCCGACCGAAACTGTTCCTTTCCATTTTGGATTCGAACGTTTCCTCTTCTTCATACCAACGTTCAGAAAGGCGATAACTGGAACTTGATAAGAAATCTAATTCCTTTTCGGTTTCCACGGTTTGGACAAGGTTTAAGAATCCCATCAATATCTTCTCCATACTATTTATATGATAAATCTAGTTAAAATTATCATAAGAATTAGTGAGAGGTAGAAACACAAGATCTATAGTAAGACCCTTGTCAAGGGCAACATTAAGATTCTCAAGGTTGTCTATGTAGCTCTCATTTAGCACATACAAAACTCTATCTATTATCTTGCATGTAATTAGGAACTTTTGACGATTTTCAAATCACTCTTGCCTTGCCTTTTGGTGATATATTTCACTGAATTGCAAATTCATTTCATATGGCCACATGCTCAAAAAATGTTATTTGTAACATTTAGGATATGGATATAATGATGTAAGAGACCTTATTTGACAATTCTACATGTTTATAGGAATAACAACTTATTTAAAGTTGACGAATAATTAATTTGAGGGATATGCTTATCGAGGAAATCTTTCCCATTATCCAATCAAGAATGATTCCTTAGCTAATGAGTTATTCCCGATACAGAACAAAGGGAATCTAGATTTTGAAAATGTGCAAGGAAGTGGGAGAGGATTTCCATTTAACCTAAGAGAAAAAGTTTAAATAATTCGATTCAATCTTTAATTATTAACCTAATTTCAAATTAAGGTTATGATCCATATTTTCGATTCGTAATATGAAGAGGAATGTCATAACCACATCACATATCTATTTTAGGTAGGTAAAGCACTTTACCAATTTCAATCACAATGAAACTCCTAGATCTATTGAGATTGTTGAACTATCAATGGCGTGTTAATCTCAGATTATACTCTTGCATTTATAACTGGGATGTCTTGCATTTATAACTGGGATGTCATGGGTAACAAATAAAATGTAAATTACCATGCAAACTTGTGTGACACCTTCGTTCAAATTTATGATCTGACATTGACGTGTCGGTTAACCGCACACGCTCCATAAATAATCATAAACTCGAGTTATATCATCATTTCTACTTTGTAGTCCCAAATTAATGTGTCGGTTAATCACACACGCTCTACTAACGACTCACAAACAAACGATGTGTATTTTCATGGATTAGCATGCAAGTTCACATTTTTCCTAAGTAACTAGAATGAGGTTTTTATATGTTTTAATACTTTATGTTATACTTTTAATGAGATTTATGTCCTATCAGAACCTTTTCGGTTAACGATAATTCACCACACAAAGAAGCGGTGAGTGAAAATGACATTCATTTATTAGTTATTTTATAGGTTGTTTCCTTATAACTTTTTATAGCATGGCTTCATGAATGATGCCTAGTTCTTGTTTGACTGACGAATTATTATTCTTTTACATATATATTGTTATACTCTTATAAATATATGTAAGGGTGTATTTTAAACTTTTTAGGAGTACAAGTTTTAAATTTTATTAACTTAATTAACTTTTAATTAATTAATATTTAGGTCATTTAAGATTTAGTAATTATCTTTTTATTAATCATTTAATTAATTTTATTAAATCTTTTAAGAATTAAATAATTATCTTAATTAAACAATTAATTAAATAATATTAATTTTCTTTGCTTTAATTTTGAATTTTAGGGTTCGACTAATTACCTAGGTCAAATGTTCAGATTTTAAGCAATTAAAATAACCACAATAAACTAGTAATTATCTTGCCCAATCGAAAAAAAGGCAACAAAATCCGAAATCTATTGCAAAGGGGAGCGGTGCGCCTACGATTCAACGGGTTTCGTCCTAGTTTAAAGTTTTTCAGTTTTTTACCAATGCGCGTATAATTAAAAATACTAGGCTTTGATACAACTGGTGAGTTTCGAGGTTACATTTAAGCAATAAAATAATGTAACAGAATTCATAAAACCATTTATGGGCACATGTAATCTATAGATCTATGACATTTTTTTTCATTATAGCTATATACTATGTAAAACCGATCTAAGCTACTTATAAGATACTATGAATCAAATTTGTAACATACCCTTACGTATAATCGCATATGCTTATTCCTTCGATCTTCAATGGCTCATGGAAAGGGTAGCATCAATAGTGTGAACGCCTCTAATGACTTACACCTAAAACCATAGAACCTTATAAATCAAGTGGATAAGAGAGGAAGATGAAATTTTGATTTCATTCTTCTTGGAGGCTTAACCACGAATTTTGATGCCCTAAGGAAGGTTTATTTACTTGAGGTAACTTGCAGATAAATCCAGATTTGAACAATAAAATAATTAAGTTTAACCCTTAGTTCAAATATTTTCCTTATCAGCTACCGGTACAAATCGAGGACCCTTCTACACTCCTCTAAAACAATCCACCAAGGGAAGGATTTAGAATCTTTTTTTTTTGTTCAACTAGTGAACAATTACAATTTCGTCTTTACATCTTTAACTAAATTTAATTAATATCGAATTAATTACAAATTTATTTTGATTAATAATTAGTTATTTATAATTAATTTATTAATCATATAATAAATTAACAATTCATTTTATCTTTTTCCTAAAGTCATTTATAGCTATTTCTAGTTATTTAAGACAACCTAAAAAGAATTTTATTTATATTTCATAAAGTTATATCAATTTAATTAGCGACTTTGAACACATATTTTAATAGTTTTACCTTGCTTATTGTCATGCTTTTTTTTGAAAACCGCAAATATATTAATAAAAAACTACATGATAAGCAAGAAACTAAATCATGAGCTCTGTGCAAGTACAAAGAGAAAATAACAACTACAATAGATTTTTAACAAAAGGGAGATAAACTCCAATCAATCCATCTAGCCTTAACACCTTGGGTTTTGTACTTAAACCATATGTATGTTTCGGAGATCACATCAACAGCGATTTTTGCAGGGGCCCACTGTCTTGCTAGGTGTGGGTTTCCCTTATTATAGTATTTGTTGTTTCCAAAAAAAAAAAAAAATAATACATAATTATCAATGTATAAATAAAAATTAATGATTGAACTTTTTCTTTCATGCCAGAAAATATATCAACTATTAAATTGACTTATTTATGATTCCTATATTTTCACAATAAAGTAAATACACATACAATTTCCTAAATTCCGAGACATTTATTTCACGGGTAAATAGCATAAAAAACACTCCGTTTACACCAAAATTTTAATTTGACACCGTGTTTTTTTTCTCAAATTTGACACTGTGTTTTCCAATTTGTTACAATTTTGACCACTTGACCGGTTAACCAGGTTACATGCTGACGTGACATGATGACGTGTCAGTTTTGATGATGTGGCATGTTGACATGATATGCTGACGTGTCAAAATTGAATTTTTTTCCCACAAAAAACACTAAGTTTTCACTTTTTTCGATTTTGACACTAAGTTTAATTTTTTCTTTCAATTTTGACACTATGTTTTTGTTCCAAATCGAACATCATTTTTTCCAGTTTTGTTCAATTTTGACCATTTTCCATTTGAAACCGTATAAATATATTTTTTTATTACATTTTAAACCGTATAAATATATTTTTTTTGTTTAAAAACCACATTTTTATTTAAATACAAGGTGTTTTTTTTTTTGTTTTTTGTTTTTTGTTTTTTGTTTTTTGTTTTTTTTTACATTCAAAGTATAATGTATAAATATGCATTAGTTATATCATGAGAATCAAACTAACCATAAGCTTCTAATAAGATGTGAAAATTTCAGGGGTTGCAAACTTGACATCCGAGTTTTAATCGACTACACACGCCTCCAAACCTCCAAACTTATTTAAAGTTGCTATAACTAATACATATTTATACATAAAATTATGGTTTGAATGTAAAAAAAAAAAAAAAAAAAAAAAAAAAACTTAAATTGATACAAAACTATGGTTTTTAATTGAAATGGAAAATTGTCAAAATTGAACAAAAATTGATAAATGATGTTCGATTTGGAACAAAAAAACATAGTGTCAAAATTGAAAGAAAAAATTAAAATTAGTGTCAAAATCGAAAAAAAATGAAAACTTAGTGTTTTTTGTGGAAAAAAATTTCAATTTTGACACGTCAGCATATCATGTCAGCATGCCACATCATCAAAACTGATACGTCATCATGCCACGTCAGCATGTAACCTGATTAACTGGTCAAGTGGTCAGAATTGTAACAAATTGGAAAACACAGTGTCAAATTTGTGACAAAGAAAAACATGGTGTCAAATTAGAATTTTGGTGTAAACGGAGTGTTTTTTATGCTATTTACCCTTTATTTCACTAGTCTGAAACTAATATAACTATACTTCTCTTGAAGTTTTAAGTTAAAATTAAACATCTAAATAGTAAATACTAATACAATAATATGCATCCATAAACAAAAACTGAAATTTTCAACAAGTTTCTAAAAAACCAAACTGTAATTTTCATTCATAGTCTTCTAGTCTTGTCCACCTTTGTAAAGGAACTATACATTCTTTCCTCCTACAAACGTGAACGTGACTAGAATTTGTACTTCACGGAGTACATAAGATAATGTTATTACTGTTCTAATTACTACTAGGTATTACTTTACAATTCTTTTCCACTAATTATAGTAATTAAAAAAAAAAATCTCGCAAAAACTTGAAAAAGATGTGCACATAAACCTTGAACTAACGACCACCCAAACCCCTCAAAAACACCTAAAAAGTGCGACAAAAAGGCTAAAAGAAGTCATCACTTTCTTCTAAAGATATATTCATAAGGTCACCTTGGGTAGAAGCCTCATCAAAAAGCCATTTCTCTAACAAACTAAGAGGGGGCATTTGATTTTCCATGCTTGGTTTACTTTCATCTTGGAACCTACTTGTTTCAGGGGAAACCGATTGAGAAATATCAGAATTGCTGTAATTCGAGTAGTAGTTGTTTATTTGATTGTTCTGGACCATGTTGTTGCTGTTGCCAAATTGCACGGAGTTGTCATACCCCTTCACTTGGAGGACTTGTTAACTGCTGGTTGATCACGGAACTCTGGGTCTGCTTTGTCTCGATGCTTTCAGAGTTTGTCTGTGGAGATTTCTTGGAACATTTCATCCAGTCTGGGAGCAATCGTGCAATGTTCTCAGCACTAGAAGCATAAGTAGCTGTGGATTGATTCGATGAGGGTACCACCGATTCAGATTTCCCTGAAGTAGTGGCTGAAGATGATACAGGTAGATTAATGGTTTTGTTGTCAAGAGATAGGGCATCACAAAGGGCTTGTTTGGCCATGTGTATATCAGTTTGGAGCCTTCTTTCCCATTGACCTTTGTACATGGTGGTTTCATATGATGATGATGATGATTGACACCCCTTTGAAGTACCATGATGATGATGGTGGGTTTCTTGATCAGAGTCTTCATGGAGCTTGTCGAGCTTCTTCTTTAGATGGGTATTCCAGTAATTTTTGATATCGTTGTCGGTTCTTTGTGGAAGATAAGAAGCTATTGCTGCCCATCTGCGATAAAAGATAAAAATGTAAAGATCGGTCATTTGTGACATAAACAATTATTTTCAGATTCTAAAGAGAAAAATCTACCTATTGCCAAGAAGGGCTTGAAGATGGATAATCATCTGCTCCTCTTGCTCGGTGAAGTTGCCACGTTTGATTCCAGGCCGAAGATAATTGGTCCAACGCAGTCTACAACTCTTGCTGCATCTTAGCAAACCTAAATTCACAAGAACATGTAATTATCATCCATTTAACAAAAAGTCGATGATAATTAATTATCACAGAAAAAGTTAAAATTCAGTGATGAAGGTTACAGGATACAATAAATACTCGAATTTAATGATCCAACCAACCCTCCTTTAAATAAAAGAATTACAAAACCATAACAAAAACCCAAGATCTAACAACATAAACTAAGTAAATGGACAGATTTTTAGATGAACATAGTAGAAATTAAGTGTACCAGTATTGGTAGGAACAGATCTCCAATTGCCCGGACCATTTTGTTGAATATAAGAGACTAGGGTTATATCCTCTTCTGGAGTCCATGGCCCTTTCTTCACGCCTATCTTATCGCAGCAAGGTGGTCTTCCCATCGAACCAGTCACTTTATGATGATCCAGGATCAATCTTTTTTTTTTTCAATTTTCTCACCGACTGTGTGTGTGGTGTAAGTGTTTTTCTGACTCAAAGTGATGTATATGACTTTAGTTTCTTGTCATTCAACATAAGAGAAAAATGGCAAGACAAGAGTCTTTGGGTAGTATCCCTCACGGCTTCTACACCATATATAGATATTAAGAGAGAGAGAGAGAGAGAGAGAGAGAGAGAGAGAGAGAGAGAGAGAGAGAGAGAGAGAGAGAGAGAGAGAGAGAGAGAGAGAGAGAGAGAGAGAGAGAGAGAGAGAGAGAGAGAGAGAGAGAGAGAGAGAGAGAGAGAGAGAGAGAGGTGGTGACGACTCTACACGCTGACCAAAGAAGTGAGTTGAAAAAAAAGCAAAAAAAATAGCTTCTCTCTCATGAAAGACTCAGCAAGGAGTCAAAAGAAGCCAGCACGAAGCATTTACTTCTGTTTGCAAAAAGTCAGCTGTATGCTTCATGCAGATGGAGATATAGATAGACCAAATCAAAAGATAAACCACTGTAGAGAATGTTAACCAACAAAAATGTTGATCAATAACATACACAATTTACGCGATTAATCGTTCCCAGTCAACATTTTTACCAAAAAAGGCTAATATATAAAAAACACCAACGGAAGAAACTTGAAAAGTAAAAAGTACCCCTAATTTTCAATGGTATTATATAAAATATTTTCCATAACTAAAATAAAAATAATCAACAATAACAAAAATAATAACAAAAACTAAGCAATCATGCATAGATTTCATTAAGAGACTAAAGATGAATCATTTTGTTTGTTAAGATAGTAATATTCTAGTAATTTTGAAGTAAACGTTCAATTATTATAGATTAAGGGACAATATAGTTGGCTTTCATAATTATTATAATAACTCTAATATATAAAAGTGATAATAAACTATTTAAAACATTGTAAAAATATTTTTGAACAAATATGATATTGTAAAGGTTTATGAAACGTAAATATGATATTACAAAATTAAACTACGAAAATATGATATTTTCATGTTTAATAAAGACATATATGAAATTATTTTGGTTACTAAAGATCAAGGTTGTAAAAGTCGTTAGGCGGTGGTCAAGCGGCTGATTGTGGTTAAGGGACTAACCAGTCTAAGCGGGGATTAATCGGCGTCTAGGCGGAGATCCTTAATTGTAATAGAATTTATTTTTTAAAAATTAAATATTGTCTATATCATAACAAAATAAGTAATAACCATAAAACTTTGACATATTCAATTGTCTATTTAAATCATCATATATAATAATTTTTAGACTAATTCGGGATCTTTTTAACAGTTTTAGTCATCAATCATCATAATTTAGTCATCCAATATTATAAATTTGACTAGCCGGGGAATTTTTTTAAAAATATTGACTGTTCGACTTTTTTACCTGCTTATACCGCTAAACCGTCAAGGACGACCCAGGACCACTGTGACACCCCGTTATTTTCTTCTTGTAAATCAATCCAATTCAATCAAAAGTCAGACTCGTTTCTGCTATCTATTTACTGTGTTTAAGGCCAGTTTGAGAGCCTTTAAGCCTAGTACACATTAGGATTGAGTGTTATGAAGTATTAGCTCGAGATTAGAAGGAGGCTCCCGAACCAGAAAGCCCAACACATGAGGTTCACGACCGTAAACCCTGTTCACGGCCGTGAACACTCTTCTAGCCGTGAACCACCCTCCATATATAAGAGATTGCTTCATTTTTTACTTCATTTCTCCAAACTCCAGCCGTGAATTACCCATTCTCTCTCAAGTATCATCAAGTGAAGGCTCACTTTTCACTCCAAAACATAAGCATCTCATCCCTATTCTTGTTCATGCTTAGAAACCCCTTTGTTCTAGCCTTGATTCATCACCTTTCATCATCATCTTCAAGATCTTCAAGGGTTTACGGCCGTAAACCCTTCATAAGGGTCGTAAACCCTTCATAGGATCTTGGGCCTTAAACCCTCCCAATGTCGTGAACTCCTTGTGATCAATCACATGTGATTCTAACACTCCATTGAGAGTGTTTCCTAGTTCCTAAAGTTGTTTCCCTTACATGTTAGTTGTTTTAAACACTAATTATATACATATATGTGTCAATATATGTCATTTAGGACTCATTTGTGCCTCGGGACTTCATTCGTGGAACTTCTCATCCTTACTCGAATCTTCAATTGAATCACCCACATAAGGTGAGTTCATACCCCTATAATCTACCTTTTAAATGATTTTAAACGCTTTTAGGGGGGATACAAGTTGAACACAATCTAATTGTGTTAGTAAATACTTGTTATATCAATCACATAATAGATTTCCTTATGCTTTGAATCTTATTTTTTTTTATAATAAAGGATTACCCAATACTTCCATAATGACTTAAAGTTATGTGAACTCTTTCAAAATCACATACACTCTTTTAAAGATACCGTTAAACTTTTAAAATGTATTTATAACTCTTTTATCTTATAATTGTCAAAATCATGTTCATATATGTATAGGTATATAAATAAGACTTAAAGGGCTTAGGACTAATGAGTTGCCTTATTTCATTTTCCTTGTCTGGATGTGGGCTTAAGGTGGGGTTATTTGTCCGAAGGCCATTTCTTTCTTAATTATATATATAATACATGTCGGAATATAAAATGTTACTTCAGTCGGTATCATTACCTTTGTATTATGTTGCGCAAATGGGTACTTTCAAAATAGATCATGCTAATCAGATATAACGTATAAATTATAATAGGTATAATTTATGAAACAAACGAGAAATCTATTTTTTAGATAAGTATACGAGGTGTAAAATACTTTGTCAAGAAAAGGGTATAATTCGATCTTTACTTAAACTAAAATGTGATGGTACATATTCAGGATATAATAATACTTGTTATGTTACATTCTTCTAACTATAATCTCCTGGAGGGAGAGCGGGCATTGTGTATACAGATCTATATGGGATTTACAATCCCACATCCCGACTGATAGCTACAGTCCGGCTGACAAGCAATGGGGTGACAAATGTCACATATTCAGTCTTAGCACCAGTAGGTCGTCGTGTTCATTCTAGTCCAGTATGGATACAACTTTATCACATTTTAAACCCTAATTAACCAGGTTAATATTAGGGTAGTTATTCTTTAGTAGTTTATTTTTAAGAAATATTATTGTATTAAACGGTTTTATAGGGTTTTAAAACTACTTTACGGAACAGTTTTATGGGGATTTAAAACTACTTTATGGAACAGTTTTATGAGGATTTAAAACTACATTACAGAACGGTTTTATGTGGATTTAAGACTAATTTATTAAACGGTTTTATGGGGATTTAAAACCACTTTTCATCATTAAAACTGAAACCATTCTTTTCATATTTTTATGGATAGTTAAAATTATGTTAAACCTCATTATAAGTATAATAATACTTAAATGGAACGGTTTTTATGGAATTAAAACTACTTATCAGTTGTAAACCAGAAAATATAAAATTTTCTGGAATGTTATCAGTCATTTTCTTAAAACTAGTATAACATAAAGGACCTTAAATGGTTAATTCTATAATTCCTTAGTTTTTACCAGAGTTATACACAATTAATATCCGACTGATAGTGGAATGTGTGACTTCCGCCTCATTTCCTGTTCCTTGTTTGGTTATGGGCTTAGGGCAGATTCACACATTTAATTATCAATTCGATATTAGATTATATATAACTAGTAAAAACTAAGCAATTGCAGAGGGAACTATTGTGGTTATTATTTTATCTCATCAGAAAATATATTATTTTCTGGAAGAACCAGCGAACTTTTCCAAAGAACTTGGAGTATACTTCATATAACTAAAATACTTATGAACTCTCCAGCTTAAATGCTGATCTACTCTTTCAAAATAACTTGTATTCTCAGGAATCCAGTAGACAGGTACACTCCCGGAGCTTTTGAGAAGACAGCCTAGTACCGTGCTGCGTCTTTTGTCTTTTACCATATCTACTTTGATGTTTGAATATGTAATGTTTAAACACGTATGTAAAACTTATACTTATTAATGCAATGGTTGTTTATACTTTGATTACTATAATGCATGTGTTGTGACACTTGATATGACGTCCTCCGCCCCTGAACGTTTCCGCCGTTCTAGTTTGGGGGTGTGACAACCACCTACAACCGTCTAGGCACTATTACAAACAAGGGTTTTAGAGACGGACAAATTTGTCGCTATTTCGTTGCTAATGATTGTTTGTGACAGATCTGCGACAAATAGACTCCATATCTAATTTAATCATGGCTAATGTGTCAGTGACGGATTTTGCGACAAACTAGGTTTTCCTAATGACGATTTAGCGACAGATTATCCATCGTAAATAATCACATACTACACTTATTTAGGAAATCAGTGACAAAATGTAATAACAATATTCCGTCGTTGATTCCTCTCAAATGTAACACATGTTCCAGGTATTATTTAATTTTATAATTGTTAGGGTTTTGTACTGGGACTTGGCGAGTTGGGGAGCTCCAACTATTCGAGTAGAGATCGTTATGAGGACGCAGATTTTAAATCCTACTCGACGAGTCAGAAGGACCCGACTCGACGAGTAGGCGTTGCAAAGGAAAACCCTAATTTTTAGGGTTTGCACACTATTAAAGAACATAATCGACCTCTTGTGGCCTCCCTTACCACTTCATTAGCCAGAGAAAACCCTATTTGAACCTTGCACCTTCTTGAGTGAGAGAGAGAGAGCTTATGTGAGTAATTTTGGTGTGGTTGTGAAGGATTTTGGAGCTTGAAAAATAAGGAGCAAGGAGAGAAGCAGTAGATCCGACATCTACTCTCTATTGGCAACCATCTTGAGGTATAAAGTCATTACTTTGATCTTTAGTTTCTTAGATCCCTTTTCTTTGAAGTAAATGGCCACTTTTTGGTGACAAAAAAGGATGTCATACTCATATTTGGGCTTATCACAAGGATATGGTTCCAGATCTGGACATCTCTAGGTCCTCAATGACATGAAGTTGCTCATTTTATCCAGCTTAGGCCCTTTCCATGCACTAAAGCCTTGTAGGGATCTTAGTTTTGATGTTTTAGCCTTGTGAGGCATTGCATGCACGTAAAGTTTGCAACTTT